CAGCGAGGATAATAGAGGAGTTTGTGATGGTAGAAGAAAGAGGAATGAATGGCAAATTTATGCTAATGAAAACATCTGTTGAGTATTCTTGCCACTCGTTCTTCATCCATCCTCACACACATCCGGAGGTTTAAAGCCAGGTGGAGTAAGGAGACTTGAGGTTTTTTTCTCGGCCTGTATCCCCGGCTCTTGCAATCCTGTAGCTGTGTGTGCAAAGCCAAAACATTTGGGGTCGAACCGACTGGTGTCATTTTTTGGCTCCAATCTACATAAGTACATTCTTGACTTAACGGTGCTCTGTGTGCATTAGCCAGAGCTTGCTGGAAAGTAGGAAGGCTTGGTGAGTGTTGAGTTTGGAGTGCCTCAGTGCCTTGATTGCGTGAGCTCCTTATGATGGTGCTGATATGGGCAGTGGCTGCTGGGTGAGAGGAGGCTTTGGAGGACTGGGGCGCTGCCGATGTGCCCAGTCCTCACTGCGGGAGAGCGGTGGCAGCGTGGCATGCTGGATCTGAGTGGGAACCCTGCAGCAGATAGAGGTGTCCGGGCTTTTTGTCCCCAGCACATGCCTTGCTTGTAGGGCTTTCAGGTGCTGGACCTGTGTTTAAAGATCACCGTGAAATTGGTGGCTCTTTGTTCCACTTCTGATGGGTTTAAAGGGGAATGAATCTCCCCCACTTGCTTTTCTAATGCAACAAAATGTTGGAATTGGTAGAGAAAGTGAAATGCATGGGCAACTGGTAAATATTCCTGTAAGTGCTGAGATTTATTTGTTTCCAGAATGTTTATTACTTGCTGGGAAAAAAAAAAAAAAAAAATAAAAAACCCAGCAACAATAGACATAAAGTAAGCAACATATTTGCACCCTCTAAGTGTGAGAGAACACTGAGCTTTTGTTGCCTTGTCCTTATTTATGCTTTTTTGTGGTCCTGCCTGAAGGTGTCTTACCAGAAGTGGGCTGTCGCTGTTAGAGAATCCTGTAAAACAGCAGTAATAATTGTATGGTGTTCTCTACTGCTATCAGTTTTATAATTATTCATAGGCATTTTTTAAAGCCGTGAGGGACTGTCTCTGCACACATCATTGATTTTGCTAATAAAATCTTATATTTTAATGGTACCTTTCATTGGAAAAACATCAACTGCTCCATAAAATTAAGACTCATAATACTGTAGGATGGAACTGTTTCCTGTGTTCTTCACGGAGGGATTGATTGAGATGGATTTATTTGGTCACTTAACAGCCTTTAGGCCTCACTGTAAGCCTAGAGCCTGTGGAAGAGCATCCCGAATCACTGTGCTCTGCTCTGCTTCGTTGTGCAGGATGCCACTTTGCCATTAAATACCTTTCTCCCTGTAAGGCAGTGATAGGCATTGAACTTGCAGTCAAGAAGACAGTGCTGAGCCAAAGCTCCACGCTTGTTGAGTTGCAGTCATCAGGTTGGAGCGTGCCCTTAGTTCAGCTGGTAAAATCTGGGAGATGACATGAGTGTGTATTTTAGTGTATTTATTTATTTAGTGAGCGTGTGAGTGTTGTATTTCAGGGAATGTTCCATCGTGGGTTTGTAGAGCTGAATTGGATTTTTTCTGACAGGAAAAGGCCCAGTTGTCTGTAGCAACCTGAAATTGATTCCTCCCTCCCTGCCTCCTGAAAGCTGTTGCTCTTGAATCATCCCTTTCATTTAATACAGCGAACAGGATGTCCCTGTGTGCTGAAACTTATAATTTCTTTTAATAACAAGTAACTTAGGCAAAAAAAAATCTGATTTGAGAAGCAGCTGTGATTCCATCCTTATTACTGCTTGGCATCGGTGCTTCCCGTTCCACCTCCCTGTGCTTCGTGTCAGGCACTGGAGGCTGTCATTGGCGTTGGTTCCTAACTGCTTTGGCTGCAGAGAACCTGTACCTGCATGCTCTGTCACACTGGTCTTCCTGTCCCTTTGGCTGTGAGCACGAAACTATTTTTCCTTGTCCTCTCCATGACTTGTCCCCACTGACGGAGCACTTCTTGCACTAATGGCAACAAGCATAGACGCAAGTTGCACCAGTCTGTGCTGTGAAACGCCTGTCTATTCTTGGCTTGTTTTCTGAAAAGGAAAAAAAAAAAAGTGCATGAAATTGATATGGCAGAGCCTGCGGCTGTGTGTTCACCTGCCGTCACTTGCAGAGGAAGCCGTGTCACTCACTGTGCACTTGTTGGGAAGATTGCTGTTTAATCTTTCCGTTATTTCCACATCAGTCTAAAAATTGGTTTGTTTAATGTGCATCAGCTGAACAGTTCACCAAATAAACTACCCAAAAAGGTTAATCTCCTATTGCTTTTACTGTCAGATGCAACTGTTTCAGAGACAGTAATGAGTGTATCTCTAATGATAAATTTCAGATGCAGAGGTAGCAGAGGCAGCTACAACTATCAGGTGCCAAAACTGAGACTTAAAAGGCTTTCTTCTTATTCTTCAGAAAACACCATATTTTGTCTATGGCTGTAGTACAAGTCTCAGAAATTGAATAGAGTTTGTGACTGTTCATCAGAGACTGTTAATACTCATCTTTTCCAGATTTGTTCTCTTTGTACTTTAATTTAGGCATTAAATATCTTGACTTTAAAAAAAAAAAAAATAGCGTGCCTTTCCTCTTATCTGTTGTTCATAGAAGCATACAATTGTTTGAGTTAGAGGCCATCTGGTCCAACTCCCTGCACTGAACAGGGATACCCACAGCTCCATCAGGTGCTCAGAGCCCCGTCCAGCCTGACCTTGGGTACCTTTAGGGAAGGGGCACCCACTGCCTCTGGGCAACCTGTGTCAGTGCCTCGTCGTCCTTAGAGCAAAAAAACTTCTTCCTCATATCCAGTCTAAATGTCCCCTCTTTTAGTTTGCCATTTCCCCTTGTCCTATCATGAGGCCCTGCTAAAAAGTGTATCCACTTCCTTCTTTTAGCTCCTCTTTGTCACTGTGGAGGACCACATTGGCCATGGAGCACCTTTTCTTATCTCCTTATCACCTTAAGTTCTCTCCATCTTCCCAAAACCATAAGAAAGTAAGAACGCTGTCCCGCGTGATTGCAACCTTGTTTTCCACATGACCTGGCCTTCATACATGGCCAGCAAGTAGGGTAAACATTGCTTAGGGTCTAAATAAGCTTCTAAATGTCTCTGTTTGCATTCCTCCCTTGAGCAGAAGCACTGCCTGAGAGCTGGATCTGACCTGGCTGGGATATGTTGATGTTCCTCGACTGTTGTCTGGAGCTTCTGACAGTGGGATATTTGTACGCTTAAATGTTTCCTCCCAGAAGTATCAAAGGAGCTAAGGCCACTTTCCAGCATGAACATGAAAGGCATTCACACAGTAGTGCAGCAAGCATTGCCATGGAGAACAAAGGCTCTTGCTAATCACTCCTAATGCCTTTTAAGTTTATGCCTCATTTTTCCCCTTTTTTCAGAGAGCCTCCCAGAGTACTGAGACTTCAGCAACTGACTCACCAAATAATTAACAGAAGGACTCTATCTCTGAAACTTTTGAACACCTCTTTTAATTTTCGTAAACCAGCACCCTGGCCATGTTCCAGTTTTGTGTAATTACATTTGACCTGGCTTAATCCCTTGGCAGTTTCAATTGCATGCAGTAGTCTTCTTGGCTCCCTGTCCTGAGCTGCCATTCAATACTACTTCATGGTTTTCAACAGCTGTTCTAATTCTGCTATAGAAATGGGTGCGTATTCCTGGTGGAAGCACTCCTCACATCTATATCCCTTGCTGAACATCTATCTCTCACTGGCATTTTGGGAGGTAATGTCTCTGATAGCACAGGTGGTCTTGTGGAAATCATCAAAGCTGTTTGCATCGTTAAAGATAGGCCTCTGTTTGAACTCCTTCATTAGTTGGCCATCTACATTGCTGAGATTCTTTGAGTTCTACATCTTCAGTATAGGGCATTTATTGCTTGGTCTACTCAGCTACTGTGTGATGTAGGGATGTAGTTATTGGTGCAGGTATTTGTCTTTAGCCTTGGAAACACCACTTCTGTTATCAAGTCTATGCTAAATAGGAGCATGTCACTTTCCTGTGTTGACAGCAGTTGGGCTGTATTGAGAAGAGGAACATGATCAAGGAAAGCAAAAGTCCAGGGCAGCTGGGAAGGACTGAAGAGGAGGGGAAAAAAAAAAATTAAAAAAAAAAAAAAATGCCAAGTGGATGCTAACAGCATCCCCTACTAATGGGAGAAAGGGATTGTGACTGGGTGGAGTACAAGAAATAATCCATTCGAAGGTGCTGTTGTGGCAAATTGATTGCTTACAAAAATAGGAAAGCAGATGTATTATCACTGCTCTCCCTTGTTGCTTGTTATCTCATGAAATTTGGGATGCTCGTGCTATTCAGAACTCTCCCCCTGTGTTTCCCAATGCTGCTTGTATAAATCCTTTCTTTCTTCTTTCTCCTTTATCACCAAACCCGTTCGTTCAGGAGAGAAATTTCTTTTTGCTATGCAGAGCATCCTGCAGACTGGGAGGTAGAGCATATGTTGTGCACACAGAAGTTTTTCAGCCTTTCATTGAATCTGACTACTTTCCTCTGGATCTATCCCATAATTACACACACTAAATCTCAAAGTAGCTTTGTCCCTGTTGGTTTCAGTGACACTGAAAATAAAGTCACCGGTGGCGACATTAAGATTTGTCCTCTGTCACAGTGAATAAAGTGCTGGAGTTGGAGCCGTCTGATTCTGATGTGTGTTGGCGACTGCCTGTAGCTTGGCAGAACTTCATGCAAAGTCAGTGTTGTCCTGTTTGGTAGAACGAAGACCTATCAAATCCTTGTGGTGGATGCTAGATAAAACGTGGCTAAGTTTGAGTGGTGGCATACGATGTATCTGCAGTCATTGATGTTACTTTTGAAGATCTAATTTGAATGTTCAATAAAAGAGTGGACGGTTGACGGTTGCTGGTTTATTTCTGGACCCTTTGCATACCGTCCTAAAAAGAAATCTTTTTTTTTTCTTCTTTCAGAGTGCCTTATGATTGGGTGTGCCTGACTGCATCAGCCTTTGGATGTGAGCGTCTTCTCTTGAAACAGCCTTGTGATATTCTAGCTGCCTGTTTTCTTGGGGTAAGAAATGAAACACAATGCAGAGACACAAGAGTAAGAACGCACTTTGGGCAAAAGCAAAATGGCAAAGAAAGGGCAAGCCACACTGGTGCCTCAGTTCGTGAATTTTGGCAACAGTGAACTTGTGAAGAGAAGGAACAAACTGTAAATCTGCTCACTGTAAGACAAATTGCAGGCTTAAGTTGCAGCAAGAGAAATTTAGATGAGATGTTAGTAAATGATCTCTTGCATTGAGAAGAGCTGAGCACTGGATGGACTGCCTGAGGAGTTTGTGGAGTTTCAGTTGTTTGTTGGAAAGGTTTTAGAATCAGTTAAAAAAGCCTCATTGGATGTGCTCTAGGAGAACTGATCCTTTCAAGTAGTGGGGCAACAGGCGGGATGACTTCTGGAAAGTCCTTGCAGCCTGCTGAAGGTTAGAAATCAGAGAAGGTGAAATTCTTATCTTAACGATGTTATTCAAAACTGATAAGGTAAAAAGAAAAACTCGGTGTACCTGTGCAGAAGGAACTGCCTGGTCTGGTGATGAGCTTCAAATCTATGGTGATAATCTTTGTTACCTGAAGGGTGATGTCCTCCTTCTGGAGTGAAGTGCAATCATGTGGAAAAGGAGTTCAGCCCTTGGTTTTGGCATGTAACCTAAACCCGTGACAGAACCAGGAGGTTGTACTAATTCTTGTTCCTTTGTAGCAAGCTCTTGAAAGTTCGGTCTCTTCTGTAATCCGTATTAGGGGTTTTCCTCTTATTCTCAGGCAGGTAATCACACCTGTATAGTTAAGATGTGAGAGGATAATGCTATAGATTCAGATAAATTGAGCAAAATATAAACAATATGTGAAACACAAGCAGGAGAACCAAATGTTTTCTCTTTGGTTCAAGGGCTGATGGGATGGCAGAATTTAATATTTCTTCTGTTCCTGTTCTTCCTTGTTTTCCTTTGTCCTGTCTTGACAGTGAATGCAGCGCAGGCTTTTTCTGTGTTCTGTGTTGAAATTGTGTCCTAAGGATGGTTGCTCACTCAGTCCCCTTGCTTCTCCCTTGCTCCCCCAGGAGCTGCAAGTGACAAACCTCACGTGGGCCCAGGCAGCCCTGGTGCCTCTGTGTGATCACTGCCAGAGAAGCAAATTGAGGGCACTTCATCTTCCTTGTGCAGCCAAGAAGTGTAGTGAGATGTGTGTCCTGTGTCTGAGGACACCCGAATAGCAGTAGGGAATTCTTAAGCCTCCTGTTGGACTTCATTTGGGATTTGTTTGGTTTCTCTAAATTTGCTTTCATCCTTAATGTCAGCAAATAGCGATGTCTCCTCTGGAGTTATGTGAGTTCTTATTGTTTGTTAGCATCTTCTGTTTAGCAGAGATAAGCTGTTGGGTCCCAAGGCTGCAGGAACTTGGAGGAACCATTCAGATAGCTCTAAAAAGTGCATAGGGTGTCAAGAGAGAAATAAGGGGATGCCTTTCTGAAATCACCTTTAAATGTTGTTTTTTTCTCTCTTTGAGTTTTAAAATTCCTGCAACTATCTGCTCAAATCTTGAAAGCAGCATGCATGCATAGAAGGATGCAATTTCCTCTGTGCCCTCCGATCTTTTGATCTCAATCAATCAAATAAATCCAAGAGCTTGCAGTTCACCTTGTGGTGAGGATGGTTAGTTGGTTGAGGGGTTGTGCCAATGGTGCTGACAGTTTTCCAAGCTTGTCTTTTTTTTCGTATTATTTTTTGATTTTGACCTTTTGGACTGGTCAGGGTGAGATTATTTGCAAAGAATATACATATGCCTGTCAGGATTGGAGTTAACATTCAAGCATTGCTGCTTAGCAAAAGAAAACAATATGCCCAAGTTGAATTTACATTTCCCCCGAGGGTTGAAAATAATGACCACGCTCAGAGCTGAGCCCTGCTGTCTCTGTGGGTTGCCTTGCAGCACACAGCAGCGGTGCAGTGCTTGACTTGCCGGCTCGACCTGAAGATCTGGAGCCTGGCACTTCGTGCTGGGGCAAACCTGGGGCAGAGGAGCCCTGAGGTGCGCCTCACAGCTCTCCGAGGTGCAAGCTCAGTCAATTCTGTAGTTTTATTCGAATGATTTTGCAACTGAAAATAGTTTTTTTCTAATGCCTTGCTCTGTGCCTGCATCTGCAAATGAGGTCTTGTGGAACTGCCCTGACCTATCCTCCAAAGCAGTCCTCTTTCCTTCCATAAACATAAGAAGGGACATCCTGACCTGAGAGCAAGCTGCTGTGCATTGCAGGCGATGCTCAAGAAAGTCCCTGTGTGTTTTGTGCCGGGAGTGTGGGCAGCTCATGTGATTTTTTTGTGTGCTTTGGAAATGTCTTGTTTCGGTGGGCAGCTGCTTGGGTTTTCCCCACTGTCGATATTCATCGAAGCAGTTCCTGGATGGCTCCTGCCTCGTGTTTTCCACAGAGGAGACTCGCAGCATCCAGCAGCAAGAACCTCTATTGTCTGTCAGGAGAAGTAATGGTGTCTTATTGACGTTTCTGCAGTCCTGTCAGCAGAATTAACTTCTTTGGGTGAGAGCAGTAGAGGCAGGGAGGCTGCAAGACAGCAGGCTGTTATTTAAGCATTAGCCTGCAGTGTCTGAAAGCCACACCAGTGTACTGTGTAAGAATGGTCTGTTGGTGCAGCCCGATCATGGATGTAAATACAGCTTATGTCAGAAGCACGTGAATATATTGAGGTTGTTTTTGACTTCTTTCATGGGCGAGCAAGTGAAGGCACAGCACAAAGCCCACGGTCGGGTCAGAGACCATCTCACCTGTAGGTTTGGAGGGCAAAACCATTCAGCAGTGCAGAAGTTCAGTGCAGCTCAAACACGAGAATGCTTTTTTCCTGATCCAAAAGGGACTGGAAGTTAGCAGCAGGGGTAATAGGCACCCTGAATTAAATCACATGGAGGCACGAGAAATAGCAAGGTATATTTGAAAATATCCATTGCATATATATATTCCTCTTAAGAAACATGTTAAAGATGCCATATCCATAAATACTAATAAGGCTGTTTGATTCCAATTTTCAGGTAAGATTAACATTTTATTGAGTATTATATCTGTCACATTCAATGCTTTAGTGTACCATCCTCGCAGGCTTATTAGCATAATTGCAGTGCTTAAGCAACAATAAAAAATTCAACAGTAAAATAGCAGTTAGCATAGGCAATTTGTTATCAAAAGCTTTTACTTAAAGACAGCTTCTGAGCATATTTATTATCAAGTTAGGGCTATACGTTATTTTTATTTAGAAAAACAAGAGGGAAACGATGTTGGGTTTTTTTAATAGCTAAATCAGAAGGCCTGCTAATTGTCCAGGGCCTTTGTTTTTTTTTCTTCTTTCTTAAAAACTCTCAGTGAATGCACTTGGGGTGGGAAAACAGCACAGCAAAACCCCAGGTGTGGAGCAGGTTGTGATATTTGGAACTCAGTCAAACAATACTGATGGCTCCTCACAGCATCCTGAGAGCCCCTGTAAAGCACTCTCCCCATGTGCCAGGGTCAGAATACCGATGGGTATTCAGGGACCCCTACTGATGGCACAGCCCCTATGGTGTCCTTGGGCAGTGATGCTGCTCTTTCCAAGGGTGCATGGATAGATGGTGGCTTTGGGTTTGGGAGCTTCGGGTGATCCCTCTGTTTCTGTTCTCCCTTTGAGGTTCCATTAGAGAATGTTTTGTTTTTCCAGATCTGTAGCTGTGATGTGCACACAGCGTCATTGGCTGCCAGCGTGGCAAGATTTCATGGGTGTATTATAATTTATAACAAATGGTATTTTGGGAGGGGCAAGCTTAACGTGGATGTTTAAAATAAGAAGCTGTAGCTTATAAATAAATAAAGAAGTAAGGTTTTAACAACTTGAGAAGTGCTAAAAGAAGAGGTCTGTAAAGGAAAAGATGTATTGGGTGAGAGGAGCAGTTCCGGGGTGCCATGGGGATGCCGGGGAGCTGCTTCATGGCCTGCACTTCTGCTCCCTTCATGGCTGCTGGGGGAGTCTGGAGACAGATGTTACAAAGCTTGCTGGAAGCTGTTACTCCCTGAGACTTGACACAGTGCCAGAGTCAGAGCTCGGCTTTCTGTGAAAGAGAGGTGATGGAGCCTCCTGCAGTGGGGGTCCAGCTCACCTCGTGTCAGGTTGAGGTGCTCCGTGTTGGGTGGGTAAATGTAGTCATGAGTCTTCTGCAGACCTTGGAGGTGACAGCGGGCAGTGTTTAAGCTGTTGTGTTTATTTGTGTGAAATGTGTCTTCCTTCTGTCTCTTCTCCTTCTGTCAGTTTCCTTTGCTGTTGGAGAGTGGTTTCAGACCACTCCTCACTGGAGTTGGCTCCTCCACGCTTTCCAGTTTCTGCTTGACTTCCTCTGATAGGCACTCGTAGTTGTCCTCATCTCTCCTCAGACCTCTGCGTGCTGCCAGTATCTCTGTCCTCCTGCCCCCCCATCTCTGAAATCTGGGGTTTCCTCTAATATGTTCTGGGCATCCTTTTCCTTGTCCTCCCTCCTGCTGGAAGACCTGCTCTGCCTTGTCATGCTTTTCCAGTCACTGCTCTTTCAGAGGCCACTCTTCCATCTTCTCATCAGAGGACTGTTGGTAGGTGGTACCCTATGTTGAAAGAGCTGTCCCAGCACCTCAGTCATGTTTGCAGCTTGGACGAACAAGGGGAAACTTGTCTGTTTTTTTGCTCCCAGTTTGACTGTTACTTCAGCTCACTCTGTGAGGAGAAGTGAAGGCGGCTCTGCTCTGGGGGAGAAGCTCGTGCTCATAGTGAAACAGGATGTGCAAGCAGGTTGTAGGAATTGGGAAGGGAGCACATGGAAACAGGTGAAACTAAACTGGGCATGTATTAGAGAAGTGATGTTCTCTTCACAAACACCTCCTTCTGTGAATATGTGACATTTCAAAGGAGCTGGTTGTTTCAGATCCCCTTTTTTCTTTGGGTACGAAAACCCACATTATTCTTTGGACATACAGAGAAACTGTATGTTTTGGACTCTTGGGTAGTCATG